ATTATATTAAATTTATTAAATACATAAATATATTAAGCTATATTAAATATATTGAATGCCTCATTCTGGGTAGCCAATCAGAAATAGTTCTTACCTAAATAGAGCTTTCATTCTACTAGCAAACAGATACCAAGTGTATAATTACACAAAAACACCAGAAGCGCGATAAAGTAGAGCGCTGCTCTATTTTATGAGTAAGCCAAGTGGGACCCTATCCAGCCTGCACTGTGTGTGTTAGGGAATGCTTCCTGGAGGAAGTGACATCTAATCCAAGAACTGCACTGTCACAGAAGACAAGGAACGAGTGTTTTTCAAGTGGAGACAATGACTTCAAACGTTGGTGACTTCAGAGAGACCATTGAGATGATCTGGGCATAAAGCAGACTGTACTGGGTGGAGGAGTGAAAGGGAAGTGAAGAGAGCAAGTGTAGGTCACTGGAGAAGCTTGGCTGGAGATGGAGGGAAGATATAAGGGCAGTAGCTATGAAGGATGTGGATCTGAGAGGAACTTTTTTTAAATGTGGGAGAGACTTTTAAGCATGTTAACAGCTGCTAGGAAGGAGCCAGCAGAGATACATGGAGGTAAATATGGTGCCTCTAAATGGGAGGGCTCAACCCGTCTATCATTCCTCCATTTAAGAAATACTATTAAGCACCTGCCATGCGACAGGCACTTTGAAAAAGGTGGACAAGTTCTTGCTTTTATGAAATGTATTTTATAAAAAGGGAGGCACAAAGGCTTGGGAGAGCTGGGAGAGCCAGGGTTCAGTAAAGTGGGGACCATCAGAGAGGAGGATGGACATGGGGAGTCTGCTGACCAGGTGGCATAGTTCCAGAGGCCCCTTGGAGATGACATAGAGTGTTAGAGGGCAGATGGCCTTGGGGTTACCTCTAGGTCTGAGCAACAGGTCAGCCATTGACTCTGCACCCGGCCCTGGGTGGCTCACAGGTGCTCAGACTCACCATTACCAGCCACAAGCCCATCTCGCCCCCACCAACCCTGCTGCTCGCTTCCCAGTCTCGAAGGCAGAGCCACCATTCTCCTGGCATGACGACTGGCAGCCTCAGTTGCAACAGGCTGCTCCTTTCTCCCCCTCTGAGACAGAGGAATCATACAAGAAGACTGGAAGGGCTCTGAGATGAAGTCCCTCCTACTCTACTGCTTCAAGCGCCTCCCTGTCCTTCCGCCCTACCAGGAAGTCGCCTCCGCCTCTCCTCCCTTCCCCACCCGGCAGACTCCTGGTCACTGCGTTCCCTGTCCATGTGGAGTTCCTAGTCCAGTGAGAAAATGGGAGAGAAGTCTGGAAGAACCACTACAGGGGGCCTGAGTCTCAGGTTCGGGAGGCTGGCCTTGACCAGGGAGTCGGGAAGGAAAGTGCAGCTGGGATAGCAGGGGCAGGGGCAGGGGCTCCATCTGCCTGCCTCAGCCCTCACCTCCTTGCCTCCTGTCGCCTCAGCTGGGTGCCTTCTGAGCCCTGCCTTCTGCCTAGGTGTCCCTTCCTTCCTTCTTGCCTGGACCGCAGATGTCCCCCAGAGTGACGTGCTAACTCTTGGAAGTCCACCTCCATGTGGCCTGGGCACCATGTTAAGGGGGTTAATGATTATCCTGAAAGCAATAGGAAATCTTGGGGAACCTCACTGGGAACTGGCATGGGTAAAATTAGGGTGCTGGGGATGGGGCAGAGCTGTGGGATGGGGGGTAGGTGTCACTGGAGCCTAGTCACCCTCCCACCTGCAGGCCTGGACTCTTTCATGCTTAGCACCAGGGCCATGGCCCTCACCCCTGGGGCCCCAGTTGTGAGAGGGTGTCCTCAAAGTGTAGCTGACATATAAGTAGGCGGAGTTCTTGAGAAGCAGTCAGTGCGTCCACACAGTCCCCAAGGTGCCTGGGGTGGCTTGGCTGTCCTATTGCCTGGTGGTGCTATTCCTGCTGGCCCTGCTGGAGGCCATCCTGCTCTCCTGGCAGCACACTCCAGTGTGGGGCAAAATCCCAGGCCCAGAAGTGCAGGGAGGCGGTGCTGCGGCAGGTGGAAGCCCTGGCGTGTCCAGCAGCAGGTGAGCGGACCTCAGTCCCTGGGACCCCAGCCCTCAATCCCAGTAAGTGGGTCCCTCCCCAGGACAGGACCCCTCCCACTGCCCCATGCCTGTCAGAAGACAGGGAGCCTGCAGTGCCATTCTTCACCCCTAGCTCTCCCCACACAGGCTCTTTGTGTTGCTGTCAGTTCCTCCTCCATCTATGTCTTTTGAGCCACTAAAGGTTGGGGGCAGCTCTGTTCTCCCAGGGCCCAGCACATGGCTCAGTAACATGGTGAGCATTCCCAAGTGAATATTTGTTGAATAAATTGATGGTGACAACTGGTAGCAGGAGACCAGGCCTCTTTCAATCCCTGAGCACCCCCAAACCCCACTGAGACAGGAGCCCTCATCTATGCATTCTCTCTTCCATCCCCCACCCCACTGGGTTCTGCAAATATCTGCTGAGCACCTGACAGATGCAAAGCACAGGGGTTCCTCCCAGGAATCTGTGTCTTAAAAGGGGGCTTTGACAGCCTGG